TTTGAGATTCAGAAAAAGGCAAAACGTGACTTCAAGAAAAACTTCAAGACCTACAAGGATACCAAGAAGAAAGTCAAGGAGATAAAGAAATCACGTGTTGGTCCTTCGTACTATCCAGTAGTTGCGATGCCCCCTGATGGAGCCTCCTCTGCAAGTGGTAGCCAACAGACCAATGTAAAGCCTTTCAGAAATGATCGCAAAGAACAGCCAAAGAAGAAGGGTGAGAATCGTGGTTACAAGCCATCCAGCCGAAAAGAGGATGCCAATTTCACTGAAACAGAGGTTGTCACTCAGTTCAACTACATGGTAACTGATACACTTTCTGCTGTTGAAATGGATTCCAAAACTATGGATGTGTTTTTAGCTTCGATACCACTGGGCTATGCCATTATCGATACAGGATGCACTACGTCCGTCATTGGCCAGGAATCTGCGACAGGTTTGATCAAGTTCTTCGAGAGCCAAGGTTTTCCGAAGCCTCAGGAGATCACCTTGCCTGCTGTGGAGTTGAAGGGCTTCAATGGTAAGACCGAGACCACGACCCGAGGTCTTCGTTGGACGGTGTGTTTGGGGAAACTGCAGGGTTGCATAACCACCTATGTGATTCCTGGGATGACTCCTTTCCTGTTGTCTAGAAAGGTATTGGAAGCCATGGAAGCAGTTTTGGATTTGAAACAACGCACCATCACCAGTGTGAAACATGGTTTGGATCAATTTCCATTACGACAAGCATCCAATGGTCACCTGCTTCTTCCTCTATGTGAACCTCCAGAAGATTTAGAAGTGGCAAAATGCGATCATGAGACAAAGTATGAGCCCAATGATTCCGAAACAGCGTCCAGTGAATGCCAGGACCAACCGCAGCCTGAACTGCCGCCCAAACAAGTGCCAAAGCATGCCAAACATGCCCATAAGCATAAGATAACCCCATTAGATAAGAAACGGGCGTTTCAAGGGATAGTAAAGAATACTAAGAATGGGGTAGTTGATGTGAGCGAGCATGCAAAAGCCTTGTCAGTTGTTTTTGGTGTTCCTGAAGGACAAATAATCCATGCAGCGGTGGCCTATAAGCCTCGTAAGGAAAGAATGCCAACCACCGCTAGCCAGGAAGCATATGATAGTTCCGTAGCATCCCTGGAGATATGCGGAACCCTGTCTGTGTCTCCCTGGAGGATACGACCACCTTCACAAGACCGCCGTCCAGTTCCATCCATGAGTGTTGCCATCTTTGCCTTCCGTGTGCCCGACCAGCCAAAAGAATTTGCCAATGAAATGGCTGAGCCACGCAGTGATGAGCCATGCAGAGATGAGCCAGCATGCTTTTGTTGCAATGAACATGATGATGTAACTCCCCCAGATAAGGGCATAGATATCCCCGTAGAATCACTTTATGAGGAGATAAGCTGGGTAGAACTTGAAGACCAAAAGCCCTTGCCTGCCGAGAGTGCCAAAAGCCTGCTCAAAAGCATTGGTTCCATCCGAAAGGCCAGTCTGCGAATGACGTTGTCACGCTTGGCAACACAGCCTGATAAGGTCAAAGCCGAACTGAAGCAATGGCTTGGTGATCAAGCTCATGTCTTGGATAAGAAGGTAGGTCTCATAGAAGTGTTCACAGGCGAAGCAAAGTTGTCACAGGTGTTTGAAAAGCAAACCGGACTTGCAAGCATCCGCCTTGGTCTCCAGTTCGGCCAAGACTTCACACGTTTGCATGACCGTAGATGCCTGCTTTTGCTGATAGCATTTTGCAGACCACGCCACGTGTGGTTCAGTTTTCCGTGCAAGCTTTGGGGTCCCTGGACAAGATTAAACCTCATCAAAAGCCATGCCACATACGAGAAGATCATGAGTGAACGAGCCATAGCACGTCGCTATTTGCATAATGTTTCAGAAGCCTGGAACCTCCAAATCTTGCTGGGTGGACATGCCCACGCTGAAAATCCTTTAGCATCTCAGGCATGGGCCGAGTTGTGTTTGGAAAATGCTTGGGAAGTCCGCATAGATCAGTGTGCCTTGGGACTTCGATCACCGAAATCAGATTTGCCTGTTTTCAAGCCGACCCGAATTGTAACCAGTGACGCCACTTTGGCATCAGGACTGGAAAACTGTCGGTGCGATAGCATCAGCATGAGCACTTGGCCGGAAAATATAAGGGTAAGAATTTAACCAGTTGGGCTGAAACGTATCCCCTCAAGTTTTGTAAGCATATCACCAAATATCTTTGCCAAGCACTTCAACCCAGTGAAAGCCAGAATAAACATGTTGAAGAAATCCTTGCCGAAAGTTTGGATGAACTTGCGCAAATGCATGATGATGCTAACATGGAGGGCGTTCCTGAAGACCAACAAGTCAGCCTAGATGACAAGCAACTGAACCTTGAAGCGCAGCGTGCAAAAGCCCTGGTCCATAAGGTTCATGTAAATACTGGTCATTCTTCTCCTGAACAACTCATGAGGTTAGCCAACAGGTGCCAATCATCTGATGCCATCAAGCAGGCGATCAGAGATTTCAAATGCTCAGTGTGCGAAGAGATGAAATCCCCGCCACTGCACCGAAAAACCGCGATCCAGCATGCAGAGAGCCCGAACCACATTGTTGGAGTAGATTATGTTCAAGTAGAATTGCACCGTGAAGATGCATCCGGAAAAGTCCGTGAAATCACCCGCAATGTGCTCACTGCAGTGGATCTTGCAACTGATTTTTGCCAGCAGATTGTCGTGTCACCAGGTCCACATGGTTTGTCAAAGGCTTTTCACCAGCTGTGGTCTAGGCCATATGGTGTTCCGAAAGTGATTTACATGGATCCTGACCATAGAAACCTGTCCTCAGACTTCCAACGATACATGGTCAGAAACAACATCCAGTTACTTCACAGCGCAGCAGAAAGCCATTGGCAATTAGGCCGAGTGGAGGTGGCAAATAGAATCTTGCGAGACATGGCCCAACGTGTCTGGAGAGCTTGCCCTGATGCCTCACCAGAAGAAGTGATCGAGTCTTGTTGCACTGTCCGCAATGAACAGCTTAGGAAACATGGCTTCTCCCCTGCACAGTGGTTTCTAGGAAGAGACTCACGTCATGCTGGTGCACTTTCCGATGTCATGGAACAACAAAACCCGGTGTCCCAGTCACAGATCCTAGATGACCCAAGTTTTGCAGAAAGGGTTAGAATGAGAGAAGAAGCTGCCCGAGCTTTCATAGAAGAACATGCAAAGGACACATGGCGCCGAGCCATAGCTGGACGCAACAGACCAATGAGAGGGCCATATGTTCAAGGACAGCAAGTTTACATGTTCAGAAAACAAGGTAAAGGAATGCTAGCAACACGCCATGGAGCATGGATAGGTCCCGGAAGAATCATAGGTACTGAAAGTTCCTCAAACAGTGTGATTCCGAGACTGGTGTGGGTATCCTACAACGGTTACATGTACCGTTGCTCTCCAGAAGGCCTGAGACCTCTGCCAGAGGATGAAGCTGCATTCCGTGAACTCTCAAAAGAGCTTGCTGTAGGCCAGTTGGCCCCAGATATGGAGCGTGCCGACAACCAGCTGAAACATCACTTTGGTTCATACATAGATTTGTATCCCTCAAAGCCTGAAGATTTAGACATGGAACTAGAAGATGATGTTCAAAGGGAACCTGATGAGCCCGAGCAAAACGAAGAGGGCGCACCCAGAAAAATCAGGCGAAGGTTTTACAGGTCTGAAGACTATTGGAAGAAACGTGCGGCTGGCATGCCGCCACTTGGACCCTTGCACGAAGGTCCACAGCCTCAAGTCATCCGAAGCATGGATGCAATTCCCGATGCTTCTGGTCCTCACTTGCCTGACGATGATCATGTTGAGAAGAGACGAAGGGTGACCATAGATTCTGATATAGAAGAACAAGAATATGAACCTTCCATAGGAGAAACACCAACTGGAGAAGTTCCGGAAGTTCCGCAAAACCCTGATCCAGAACCTTTGGAAGATGTTCCTGCAGAGTCATCAGAATCAAGTCCGCCACCCGATACAGATCAAGTGATGGAAGACTTGCAGCGTGCTGTCGAAACTCCTGTGCCATCAGGAGACGATGATAGCCTCCATGTCGCCAGCCGTTCCTTTGGCCATCGGGACGAAGTCCTGGAAGTGTCCCTAAATGTCATGCCAGAGGACATCACCGAAGATCCACTGTGTCTCTGGGGAGTCTTAGATGAATGTTTTCAAGTAACCCCCAAAGCCAAACAACGCCGTGTTGAAGTTTCTCTCAGAAAACTATCCCCCGAAGATAGAAAGTTGTTTGAAAAAGCAATGCAGAAGGAGTGGAATTCTTGGATTGAAAACAAGGTTACCTCACTTTGCAAACGTAAGGGGATTCCAGCTGAAAGAATAATCAAAGCCAGATGGGTGTTAGTTTGGAAGAAAAGCAGTGATCCAGACGATCGCTCTAAGACCCCAAAAGCACGACTTGTGTTGGTAGGATGGCAAGACCCAGAGTTAGGCCGCATAGCGACTGACTCACCAACCTTGCGCAAGGAGACCAAACACCTGATACTCACCATATGTGCCTCCAAAAACTGGAAAATATGGGGAGCCGACATCAAAACGGCATTTCTGTCAGGAGACCCAACTCAAAGAGACATATACTTCAAACCACCAAGTGAAATCAAAGAATGGATGAATTTGAGTGAAGATGATTTATTTCGCTTGGAGAAGGCCGCATATGGACTAGCTGAAGCTCCAAGAGCCTGGTTTTTGAGGTTGTCCCGTGAAATGGCTTCTGCTGGCCTGCAGGTGTCGCAGCTTGACCCTTGCCTCTACTCCCTCAAAAACTCCTCAGGGGAATTAGTTGGGGTATGCGGGGTACATGTTGATGATATAATAGGTGGTGGAACCCCAGAAATGGACGCAGTACTGTCAAAAATGAGACAGAAACTTCCATTTGGTGATTACCGCACATACACAATACGCTACACTGGAATTGAGATTCGCCAAGACCCTCAATCGAGAGCCATTGAAATTGGTCAAGAAGGTTACATAGACTCGCTTGAACCTGTCCCAACAAAGCAGTATGGAAAAGCTGAAGACAGCCTGCCGAATGCTTCCATAATGAGAACCTGCGCCGGACAGCTTGCCTGGGTAGCCAATGCCACAAGACCAGACCAGTCTTTCTTAGCATCGTTTCTCCAAGGTGTACAAGATAAGGGGACAGTAGCTCACCTCCAAATGTACAACAAAGCTGTCAGAGAAATGAAAGAGCGAAAAGTTTGTTTGAGATTTCCAGCAGGGATTCCCCTCAAGCAACTCCGAATCATGTGCATCACCGATGCGGGATGGGGGACTAGGTCAAATGGTGAAAGCCAAGGTGGCTATGTCTTGTGCCTCACAGTTCCAAAAATGTTTGAACGTGTGCGAGCCCCATGTTGGATAGTGGACTGGCAGAGCAAGAAGCTTCGCCGTGTTGTGAGATCATCCGTTGCAGCCGAAACCCTAGCAGGACAAAACGGCCTTGACGCAATCGAGGCATTCCAAGCGTTGATGTTGGAAACAATCCATGGTGTTACGCCAAAACAGTTCCGAGAAATGACACCAGATGATCCAGCTGCATTGGTTTTAGATAGCAAAGGTTTCTATGATGCTGTAACCAGAAGCTGCTGTAGCCAGGCCATAAGCCAAGAGCGTCGTTTGCAGATCGACTATTCAATTGCAAAAGAAACCACCATTAAGCAGAATATAATTTTGTTTTGGGTGAACAATTTGCGAATGAGTGCCGATTGCTTGACAAAGCTGAAAGGTGACACAAAACCACTTTTCGAAATCTTGGAGCAGTGTTCATATGAAATTACCATGAGTACCCAATCCGGGAAGAAGGAAAAGAAAGAACTCATGTCTCCACAGTAGTGTCAGCAAAAACGGGCCAAAAACTTTTTCCTTTGTATAGATGCCAGAGCCTCTCACTTGCAAAGCCTGTTATAACGGTCATAAACCGTGGGGTAATAGCATGTCATAGACATAATAGTGGGGTGATAATCTGGTCCCTAAGTTTAGCCCAGTCAGCAGTGTACAGAAACAGTTCATGCATAGACTCTGCCAGCTGAAGGGTTGTCAGAACGGTGTGAACGAATGTTTTTGCCGCCTCTTGCAGCATCCGACATTTCTCAAACCTGCTTTTTCCAAGCGTTGCCGACTTTGTAGACCCATCTCCCAGTTTGCCATGTCACAGCCCAACAAGAAGGCCATGACGAGCGCACTCGAGACGCCTCTCAATGATGGTGAGATCGTTTTCATTTCGGGCCTGCTGCATCGCGCCATTGCCTTCAACCAAGGTGCCAAGGTGTTAGCCTCATTCCGAGCGTCACTGGCCCCGAAGCAAGAGCATGCGCCGGCCACCTACATGATTGATGAGATGAAGAACATGTATGAAGCTGGAAAAGGATATCCAGAGGTTGCCTCAGCCGGGATGACAGATGCATCCAAGCGTCGTTTTGACGATGCGCATGAAGCCGAGAGCCTAGCCTCCTTCTCCGATTGGAGCGCAGTTCATGAATGTGGAGCTGATGGGCCGCCTGTGCCGGTGACTCTCAAGCCCTATAAGGAGATGATGTTCAACCATGTGAACAAACATGTTCAGCCGCCTGAGAAGGACATGACCTTCAGTCAGTGGGGAAAGACAGAGTGCCAGTTGCCGAAAGTTCAGGACCTCAAGCTGAACTACAAGCAGCTGATCTTCAAAGCCAACTCAGATGCAGAGCTCCGAGACTATTTGGTGTGGTTGAAAGGCCGATTTGGCACCAATGAGACCGGAGAGCCCAAGGGTAAGGTTACTATGGCCGTGGACCTTGCGATGTATCTGGAAGCTGTTGGATGGAGTCCATGCAAGGACAATGGATCTACAGCTGTTGCTTTCAGTCGCAAATTCAAAGACTGATGGCAAAACTGGAAGAAAGAAAATGGTGTGGCAGCCTCCCATGGAGGGCGTGAAAATCTGGAAGAATGACATTGGAGTTGTCATGCATGTGCCAGAATATAACATGGTCGCTGCCGCATTCATTATGGTCCAAAGGGCCCTTGAGTCTTGCTGCAATCGCAGCGAGGCTACTGACGCAGGTGGAGATAGGAAAACGTGGCGCTTTTGCGCGATTCCCCTTGCCGATTCATCAATATATATAATGTAAATATTATGTAATATTCCTCTTTTTGAGGATAAAACCATGTGGCGATGCAAATGGAAATGCCAGCTGTGGGGAGAATCGGAGAATGTGGGAGCCCAGTTGCCAGCATAATGTTCTCTGATGAAAAGAAAACTTGTTTGGCGAAAAAAAAAAACATTTCTGCAAAGGTGATGCCAAGATGGGGGATTGAGATGGGATGGGATTTTTTGTCCGACCCATCCACTGAAATCACCATGAATTGGATATGGATTCCATGGATACTTTGTGAAATCAAAACTACTTCTAGGTCACTACGGGAATGGGCAGACAATAAAAGAGACTTTCTCAGAACATCGTCTCAGCTTTGGAAATTCTTTTCTCTACACAAGGCCTATGAAATGCCCGTAAGATCATGTACACATCACCTGCATTTCGATCATCGTGTGAGTTTCAGCAGCAAATGGACGTACGTTCGTCGAACGTTACTTTTGAAGACAACGTTCGAGAATTGATGGATCCAGCCACAGAGCATGCCAGAAATCACACAGCCTCTGTTTCGGTGCCATCAGGATTGTAGGGCATGTCCTTGTCGCTCTCTCCATACCTGGTGACACATGGGCATGACATGGGTATGACATGGGTAAAACATCGGCATCTCAGCAACAGGAGCATCAGGGGCACTTGTTGATGAGTTTCGACAGGACGTTGAAGAGTTTGTCGTACTTCTCTTTGGAAACCTGTGCTCAAGAGTCAAGACATCTGGTAACTTTGGATGCTCTTGGACATCATGTGTTCTCTTGATGCTGGTCATTCGGTTTTCTCTCAAAATATTTCAAAATCCTATGGTTTATCATTTTCTCACATTAGAATAGATGTCTTGCATGTTCTCAAACGGTTCCAGGATGTTCCAGGCATATGTCGTTCAAAAAAATATGTCCACCGAAACTGAACTGAATTTGAAACAAAGATGGTGCCACCGTGGGCCAACGGCACGAGGCTTAGCCCCGCACCTTAGGAACTCCTGCTATGAAGATGCTGCATGGAAAGCTGTCGTCCAGTCTCAAGGGCGCCTGGAAGTGCCCAAGGCGGGAAAGGATGGGATAGCATTTTGGTGTTTAGATGTGTGCGTGTGCAGATGTAATGTCAGTAATATATTCTTTTGTATTTCATTGTTTTCTATATTCATCTATATTCTGTATAACCCCATGACTATGCTATGTTTTACCCCATTATTCTTTGACCGCTGTAAGGTCTCGATCCATCTTACTGGCCTCAAGCGAATCCAAAGGTTCGCCGTCGCCATCTGACACGCAATCCAGAAGTTCCTGTCCAAGTTTCACTGTTTCACTGCTCGAACACTTGCACCAAGGGAAACACGTCTTGTTACATCAAGGCTGAGTGAAAACATAAGACGTCAACATCAACTAACAGTAACTATCAGCATCAACGATCAACTGCCTCCACGAAAACAAAATGTGCATGTCTGTTTCATTGGCCTCTAAATCCTGATCCTCAAGTTCTTGCGCGACCTTACGGCAACATTGTTCCATCATTTGGCATCTGAAACTTTGGGAAACCACCGAAATGTTTTGCTCTATCATGTTTACCATTTAAAAAAATCATTAGTCGGTAGCAAAGATTCCAACCCTTTTTCAAATTCCAAGTTGTGTTCCAGTTCACATTCCTCACATCGAGTGCCGAGCCAGTTCCTGAATGTCTCGCATGGCGGCAGTCGTTTTGAACGGTCGGAGCCGATCGGAACCAGGAACCCCCCTAGAGCAAAACAGCAGCGATGTCGCCAGATTCCGAGATCTGTTGTGGCTACAAATTTTCCAAAAACTGTGGCAGCCGTGGCAGCCAGTTTATTGAAGTTTTTCGGTGATCGGGCAATACATCAGATTCATATCGAATATATGTCCAAGACTAATTCCTCGTCAAATGATTACTTTCTTATTGAAAAATTGGATGAAATTTGGTTTTCAAAAAAGGTAAATGTGTGTCAAACCGTTTTGCTGCACACTGCTAGCCCTTCCAAATAGGATGTTCGATTTTTGTCATACTGCACACTCTTTGCACTCTTTGCCTGTGTCACTGTGAAGCACTGTGAAACACTGTGAAACACTGTGAAGCAAGGGTAGGCCTTTTACCCTCCAATGACTGCAGCCAGGCGCACAAAGACATGGGCAACAGGATCTGCAGGATCACTTTGGAACACAGTCCAAAGCGTCATTTTGGAACACAACCATTTTGGCATCACTTTGGAACACAAAATGCTACATATCATCAGACCACCGCCAACAAAACAGACATCAGATTTACTGACAGGCGCAACAGTTTGGAAGCCTCGTTTCCGTTCCAAAGCGATGCCTTCACCCAAAAAAAAGGCCCCAATGAGAAATGTAATCTTTAGGTCGGTGTCACCAAGCGCCACTCCTGCCACACAAAATTAAGGTCGATGTCACGAAATGCCATGCATGCCTGCCACACAACATGGATGTCGATGTCACCAAGCGCCACGCTTCCCACACAAACGGTACGTTGCCAATCCGGACAGTCACAATGGTTCTACCTTTTATGTTTTTGGGGATGGGGGGTGGTTTAGGGTTCACATCATGTGCCAATACTGACAATAGCAACGGTGATTGGCAGCGCCCTTTTGATCCTCGCACAAAAACTATACGGTAACATCCATAGTTGACACATGAAGTGGACATGTAGTGCAACAGACATGACATGAAGTCTTTCCATGCCAAACTGGTTTGAACTGCCTAGACATGCATTTGTACTGCACATCAACTGTATGTTCCATGGAGTGAAATGTTGTTCACCCCGCCTCGGTCAATTTCCTTCGGATCTTGACTGAATTTTCAAATTTTCAATCCAACAAGGCTATCGACTAAGCCTTCACGGCAAAAGGGCTTTGGATTGTATGTCCATTCATTCTTTTCAAAAACTCTATACAGCTTTCCAAGGTTTTTCAAGTCTCATCTAAACCGGTGTACATCCTTCCATGGGCCTCTCTGATCTGCCCTTCAATTTGCGCCATCAGCAAGCTGTCATTGTGAATCTGGGCATCGTCCCATTCACATTCCAGTCTTTCTATTCTGGTTCTCAACACGCTATTCGTCTCTCTCATAGCTTGTCTCATCTCAGGCGGCAAAGGTGAAGGACGAACTGCAAGATCATCTGAAAGAGGAGACTCTGATCTTTCTGCTTCTCCATGATCATGCTCATCGGTCCAAGGTGGCCCATAGTGGATGTGACGCCAATACTCGTCATCAGAAACTTCACACATCTCACTGTCCAAATAACGGCGACGTTTCTCTTGCAGGGTTTCAGCCTTTCCTTCATATATTCCCCAACCCATTTTATATTCAAGTATATCCAAAACTTGATGCAACGTTTTGTCCATGCCTCTGGCGAAGTTCTCGCCTCTCGCAACTCCAAGTGCAAAACGCAAGTAGAAGCAAGCAGCCAATGCACCACAGAGCAGCGTAAGCAGGGTTGCTATCATCACATTCTTGTAGTCCATGAAGCTTGAAGCTGGGTGGAGTCAGCTGAAACTGCATCGGTAGAAAATGCCATAGCCATTTCCGAAGGACTCAAGGCGAGAAGGAGGATTCTGAGAAGTTGTTTGGGGGCGCTATATCCTTGTTCTTTAAGAAGTCGAATACTGGCCTTCATGTTGTCCTGTTCTTGTATCTTGTCATAGGCATTCATGCCAACAAACTCAGAGGTGTCCATGTTCTATACTTTGCACAAACACATGAGGTATTCCATTCTGTCCTTTGCTAACCGTTTGGCCCCCAAGTCTGAAGAGTTTTCACAGCTAGGAACTTTTGAGGGAATCAAGCCTTTCTCTTTCACTCTTTGCTGCATCCACAAAACACGAACACTGATATGTCTAATACGTCCCACTCCAGAACGTAGAAAGAAGGATCTGCCTGCCGAGTTGTCCATCTTGATGAAGGTGACCACTTTGTCCTCTCCTCCAACAATGAAACACAGGCAGTACTCCAACAGTACACCATCGCAGCATGCGCTGGTTGCTGCATAAATTTCAGCTTCTGCTGAAGAGAGTGCTATAGCTTTCTGTGAACGTGAACTTGAATACAGTAAGTTCCCAAAAAGGAATATGAATCCAGAAGAAACTGATTTCCTGGTTGAGCGGTGTTTCGCCCAATCACTGTCAGAAAAGACCTCCAACGTGTAGTCCTCAGGGGTGTAGTGCAAAAGTCCATGGTGACCTTTGTAAGTCAAAATAAGACAGTTTTCCGTGCATCCCAACAAATACATACACAAGTGTCGCAAGCATGCAAAAGAGTTCACTGTGGGCTTTGACATTGACTGCGACAACGCACGTATGGTGTATTGACATTCGATGTAGTCACTGGAGATATACAACAGAATACCAATACAGGATCTATATATCTTTGCATATTGGGCATCCAACTCTTTGGAGTTGTCGGGTTCATCCAACAGTGGGTGGCCAGGTGTCTTCTTTGGCATCAGGCTGCGTTTGATCTTCAAAAGCTCAAACAGTTTCTCAAGGTGTTTTGGGTGGCTTTGTATGGCCAGTTGGTCTAGTCTGACCATCACATGTTTTCTCTTCAAAAACGTAAGCTCATCACCCTCTTTGCAAACTACATCCAACGATATTTTGCAAGGCTGGTACCAAGGTATTGTTCAGGTAGTTCTCTTTCACCAAGCAAAGAACATCATCGACATGTAGCAGCAAGACGCATTCTGAGTTTTCAGCTCGAAGTAGGCAGGGGTATGCATCACAAGGGGTGATTCTCAGCTCATCACGCAAGAAACTGCTAAAGGCATCGTGCCACATCTGTGACCCATTCCTCTGGCCTGGAAGCACACAGCCGAGGACAAACTCCATAGTGGCACCTGAAGCATCAACGCATGTAACCTGTGTAATTTCGTCTTGAGGAACCATTAGAAAAGCATCACCAACATCTATTGAGCATAGCACATAGCCATCAGTCTTCCACTTCATGAACAGCGTAGGCAGTAACCTTGTTGTGATCACTGAAGATGCTGGTGAAAACAAATCTTGTCTATCTGGACTCAACCAAGCAAACTCACGTGCTACGTATCTCGATCGACGTAGCCAAACTCTTTCTCCATCTATATGTTTATCTCTCCAAGCTCTCACCATCCTTGTTGTCAGTCTCTTGGGCGTTTGACCTTTGTAGTCATAGCCATCAGCAGGAAGTAAGACTCCCATTGTTTTCAACCTGGAGATTTCAAGGTGATCAGCCATGGTGTCAATTCGAAGTAGTTCACTTTCACTAAGCTGAGGTTCGGCAGCGGAATACGGAAAACAAAGTTGTTCAACAAAGCAGCATCACTGACATCATCACTTTTGTTGTTCAGCTCTTCGTCCAACGAAAAGTCGTAGGCTCCCAACTCATCAACCTCACAATCATCAAATGTTGTGTGGTGCTCAGCATCCTCGTGCTCAAAGAAAGCTAGTATTCTGGGTTGTTTCGAAGGTCTCTCAGACTCTTCTGAAGCAGTCTCAAGTGGGTGCACGACACCTGAAGAAGTGTCCATGCCTCTCGAAGGTGCTTCCAAAGCACTGCCTGCAGCATGTGATGCTCCATCTAATGGAGTTGAAGGAACTTGCAGTCCAACTGCACTTGGAAGGGACCCCGCCTCAGCAGCTTGTCCCATAGTTTCATCCAGCGCATCACCTTCCAAAGCTGGTACGCCAGAAACTGGAGCAGGCAAACTCTAGGTCTGCGTGGCGCCTCATCCGGAGTAGGCGGCACGTTTCTAACTGCTTCTGCTTCTTCGTCCCTGAGAGGAGCTGAAATAAAAGGGGCTGGTGTTGGCGGAGCAATTCTCTTGGCCAAAATCAGTTGAGAGCCTAAAGAGGCATATGAAAATTGCCAAGGACAAGTCTCCACCTGACTCATCATCTCACCATTCCACGCATTTGGAAACCTCCTGATACTACGTGTCACAAACAGTTGGTTGTTGCCAGGAACTGCACCGATGTTGACATCATTGTTGATTGTTTTCCCAAGCCAAATGCCTTTCGTCCATTGTGGGGCTCCTTCGGCTGACTGTCGTAGGTATCCTAAGACACATTCACCAAACATAGCTACTCGACCACTGTAAGTTCTATCAGCACAAAGTTCATAAGCAGTATGTCCTTGTTTCACAACGTACCTGTTATGCAACCATGCCGCATGAAGAAGTGCCCATGAATACAAAGGGTGTTGGCATCCAACTGTACCTTCTGGGATTCCACAGCCACGTTCCAGTTGCTGTATCAGCACATTGGCCTGATGTCGAATCAGCTTCACTGTAACTTCTGCTGCTCCATTTGAAGCATGGCTGCCAGGGGCAACTGTTTCAACAATTGTTTTGACTCCCAAGCACCTGCAAGTCTTTCTCACGGCCTCCAGTAAAGCTAAAGTCGAAGGCTCCTGATCGCACTTCAGTGAAATTGTCTCATGACCAAGCCAAAGTATGAACCTGCAAAACTCCGTGCATAGGTGGTTGAGCCAACGTCCACCTTTCTGGGGTGTAGGCACCGTATGCATGGCACCAGTGTGCCTGTCATGCAAGAAAAGTGCACAAACTTTGGCATCATCATCATTTCGCGCAGCATAGCCAAAGTCGAAAGAAATGCAACTGTGGCCTGACTCGACATATGGTTGAGGTTCATGTCCATCTTGCCTGGCATGATTTGCAAAGCAAAGTTCACACCATGCAGCATATGGGTAGTGCACCAAATTGTGCTGGG